GTCGCCGTAATTCGACAACAATTTAAACGACGCGCGAAGAGGAGGTGTTCGACGGAGACATTCATCTACACGAATTTGCGATCACCTCGCCTTGGCCTTTCTCCCCTCCCCCTCACTCCCTCTCTCTCTTTCCTCTCGGCCTCCTTCATTAGTCGAAGCGACGTCGGAGGCGATCTAACGAAAGCGCGGCGCTTCGGCCGGTACTGCGGTTAGCCAGCGTGTCATTAATTATCCCGATAGCTTCGGCGTTGCTCGCGTTATTATCAATTAAGCTAGCCCCTCGGACGCGGCAATTTCCTTCGCGCCGCCTGTTACAGCGATCGCGATACGCCGCACGCGCTATTTTGCTCGCCACGCTCGGCCACGTCCGCGAAAAGAAATTAAACAGGACGAGCGCGATCGCCCGATAATCGCGTCCGCACGCGAGCGGATTAATTCGGGCTCGTATTATCGACAATGTATCGATGTACTCTCGGACACTTTGTTCTCGAGCGTTGGGTGCGTGCGCGCGCGTTGCCGGAAGCTCATTGTATTCTCCCGTTTTTCCCCGAGAGAAAGAGAGAGAGAGAGAGAGAGAGAGAGAGAGAGAGAGAGAGAGAGAGAGAGAAGGTGCCGATTATCGCCTTATATTCGAGATTAAACAGAGAGAAGAAGAAGAAGAAGAAGGAGAATGAGAGGAACAGAAATCCAAACGATAACAATCGCAAGTTGCCAATTCTCATAACAACAATTGAATCCGCAGGAAAGAGCGCGTTTCTGCACCGATCGCCCGTCGACTACGACGCGCACGAGGAGGGATTCTCACATTTATATTTCGCAAGAAGTGGAGATTTCGCCCGGTGGCGTATAATACGGAGAATCGCAGACTGAAACTAATGGCGGTGTGCTCGTCCTTGTCGCGAAGTCACGACATGAATAATTAAAAATACTTCTCTGACGTGAGCGCAACGTCTCCGAAAGTCCTCGCAAGATTGCATTAATTATCAATGCAGCTGCAATTGTCCCCGAAGGGCTCGCAGAGGAAATCTCGTAGGAAACGGAGTTCTCCCCCCCCCTCTCTCTCTCTCTCTCTCTCTCTCTTTCTCTCGAGAGGAGCCTTTCGCTCATGAGCGTTCGCTCTTCCGGCTGCCTCTCGCGCCTCGATCACTCGAATCAACGACGTAATTAATGACGTAACGCGGAGATATCACAGCGCGCGTGCGCGTCCAGCCGCGATCCTTTTATGCACGCGTCGCTGAATAAAAGCCGGCGCGGCGCGTACGCACGTCGCGGGGCGCTCTCACCGTTCGCCGGAGACACCCAGTGCATGCGTATAATCACCCGAGTGCGATATAATTTGCTCCGCGAAAGAAATTTGCATCCTAGACTGCACAATTGCACACGAGTGCGTGCAAAATTACGAAGGAAGGCCGGCCGGCCGTAAGCATTGCGCAATAATGACGCATAGTAAATGAGCGTAAGAAAAACACAGTGCTATGCTAATCAGCGCATCGGGAGATTATGCGCGCTCCCGTGGCTGAATCTTTGCCCGTCATTACGCGGATTTTCTCTTCGCGTCGCGCGTCACCGAGCGCGCGCGCGCGCTCGCCCGATAATTCTCCTGTCTCTTCTGCCTGGCCGCCGTCCTTGCTCGCCATTATTATTGGTATCATCGTTAATTGAGATAACGCGTTGCACGCGCATACGCGCGCGCGCGGACCTCTCGGCGCTTAATAATTATCTGTCTCTGCGTGTAACACGTGTTAATTGCAGGTCTTCGTTAATTCGCGGTGCGCCGAGTCCGCCGCGTCGCGGCTGCCTTTCCTCTCCGCCTCCCGTCGCCTCTCTTCGTCGCCCCTTCTGCGCTTCCTCCTCCTCCTCCTCCTCCTCCCGCTCTAACCGTATAAATGCAATTATTAATACCAGTGCATCAATCCTAAAGCGCGGCGATTAATGTAACGTCTGTATCAATAATCGGCCCCGGCCGGAGCGCGTAGTGAAATTGCACGATCATAATCGCGCGATCCGCAATTAATCGGCCGCTTTGCGCTCCGCGCCGCCGGTTATCGCGCGGCCGTTTGATTTCGTTTCGCCGTGCGTCGCAAAGTCGACGCGGAGGATCGGCGGCTGCCGCGTCTCTTCGTCGAGGTGAGAGCTCCGCTCGGTAGTCGTAATTCGCCGGTGGCCCGTAGTCGGGGAAAAATCCTTCGTGCTTCAAACTCTCTGTTGCTTCTCGCCAGCTCGCAAAACACACGCACACACGCGCGCGCTCGGCTATACGGCTATACGGCACGGTGCGTTACCGCTAACTGTTCTTCCGCGGGCCTTTTCTCCCGCGTCGACGGGGCAGCGTTTGAGATGCAGCGAGCGCTAATTGCGGGCAGAATTGGCAGAAAGATCATAGACGAGGAGGTGGCATTGAACGACTTATTACAGAGCTCGCGGCCGAGCACCGAGCGCTGCGCGGCTCGAGTGCGACGCGTTGAACAACGTATGATTTACGGAACTGCCACAATACGGGATCGCCCGCGAAATCCGCGCTCTCGCGTTGCGCTTTGTTGCCGGTAGCGGCCCCGCCGCTATTATATCATTATTGTGTATTACTACGGCTCGCTCAGCCGTTGAGCGAATCGAAGGGCGACGATAAAAGTCGGCATTTCACGCTTCGCCAGGTCGGCCGCCGATTTCCGGTGGATGCGACAAAGCTCTTTCCCGGGGAGACTTCCGTCGGGGGCGATACTTGATGGCGGGTAGGATCGATTCGATCACCGTGTGCTACGGGGTGGATTTCTTTGCGCGCCAAGAGAGATCGCCCCGTTACTCGGGGGTGAAAAAAGACAACCGCGGAATCTTTCGATTTTCGTTAGTGGCGGCAGTCGCGGCCACGAGTCGTCCAAGTTTGTCAATCGAGCCGTGGCAAACTCGACCTGTGAGATTCAATAGACTTTTTACCCGTCGTGGCGGTGCTCGTTAATGGAATATTCGCGAGATTCACGTTGCGAGAAGCTTGAATCGACGGGCAGGAGAGCACGAAATGGAGCACCTGGCGAAGGGCGAAGTTATTAGCTATTAGCGGTTATGAAAATCCGAAGTTTATCGTTTGGCTCTCCGTGCACGGAGGGAAAAAGATCGCTCGAATTAACTTGATACAGTGCGACATACGCGCGAACGCGCGTTTCGGCTGAAGGAAACCAGAGTTTCTGGCTCTTAGAAGTCAGTTTGGCTCATAATAGGGAGTTTTTGCAATGTACCGTCTCTCAGACGCGGTAAGCGTAAATCGTGAGCGTTATTCGCTCGGAAATAACGTTACAATATACGCGACCAATAGCATTCACGATTTACGTTTACCGTACCTGAGAGACGGTATATTGCAAAAACTCCCCAATAATCAGAAATTGTGAGACAAAGGAAAGTGTTTGCTTCGTTCACTGTCACGTTAGAGATTTCTCTCTCTCTCTCTCTTTATCGGATCATGTTGAAATAAAAAGATACGTCTTAAATATAAAATGACACTTGAAAATAAAACGGAATTTTGTTCCTCCTGGGCGTCATGACGACATGTAGTTCGTCCATCGTCACCTTCATTCAACGCGTTCCGGCTGAAGGAAACCAGAATTTCTGGCTCTTAGAAGTGGAATTTGGCTCATAATAACCAGAAATTATGAGACAGAGAAAAGTGCTTGCTTCGTTTACTGTCACGCTTGAGATTTTTACGGATCGTGTTAAAACAAAAAGATAAGTTTTAAATATAAAACGACACTCGAAAATAAAATGAAATTTTGTTCCTCTTGGGCGTCATGACGACTTTTAATTTGTCCATCGTCACCTTCATTCAACGCGTTCCGGCTGAAGGAAACCAGAATTTCTGGCTCTTGGAAGTGAATTTGGCTCATAATAACCAGAAATTATGAGACAGAGAAAAGTGTTTGCTGCGTTCACTGTCACGTTAGAGATTTCTACGGATCATGATGAAACAAAAATATACGTCTCAAATATAAAATGATACTTGAAAACAAAATGAAATTTCGGTCCTTCTGGATATCATGACGACGTTTGGCTTGGTCATCATCACCTTCATTACACCGGTCTTCTTTTCCCTGTGCATCATTGACAGCAAGAGATATCCGCAATTTTTATCGCATGTACACGTCGTTGGGCAACGCTGAAAGTCGCAGCTAAGAGCGAGACGCCTTCGTGCGCGGTTAGAACATCGAAATCTCTAATCCTCGGCCGGCTGTGTAAGATCACTGAGTCGTGACAAATTCAATTTCCTAACGGAGCGCGTCGCTCAGGGCGCGAACATCCGCGGCTTCACCCCGCGATGTGGCTGACCGGCCGGCCAGTCGGCTACAACACAGTCGCCCCCGAGAAAGGGGAACCCTCGGGGAACCGCGCGCATACCGGCAAGAATATTTCTTCAATCTCCCTGGCGATGCGCGCCATTCTGTTCACGCCCCGAGGCATTTCGGCATGGAAATTCAACGGCGGATGTATACAACGGTCTGCTCGCGTATTTAATTCATTTCCGTTCACCCGACAGGGTCAGTCAACGACTGAGGGAGAGAGAGAGAGAGAGAGAGGAGGGGGAGGAGATAGGAAGTAAGAGGCCTGCTGTGAGGCACGCGGAAAAGTGCGATCATTCCACTTTTCATCGTCCCGTTTTTCTTCCTCGCGGCGTCCCGTTAGCCGACGGCAGTTTTTGCTTATTAGAGACTTCGCCGAGCGACCGCGCTTATTATTTGCCGAACACCCCTGCGATTCACGCTAGATGGATCGGTGGGTGGCTAACTAAGCAGCTGGCGGAGGCTCACCAGGTGCAGCCTGCTCCGCCCGCAAATCCCTCGAGATTCATCACCGAGGACTTGTCACATCCTCCGAGCGTTGCGATTTCGCGGTTTCACAGCTAATTACGTCGCGACGATGAAGTCGACTTTTTCACGTCGCACTGCGAAGGACAAAAACGGTCCAATGTCTGGCCGTGACAGTCCGCGGGGAGCTGTGGGCTAATCAAGTCGCGCTGATTCAACCAAGTATCTTTATTATCTCGAATATTGGTACAACGAGATCTCTTATAGCAGAAACGTTAGAGCGCGTAATCGCGCGGCGATACAAAAATATGTCTCTCCCTAATACTCCCGCGACGCGCGGCTCGCGCGCGCGGCTTCAACGATAAAAAGTAGAAAATATCGTGCGCGTTGGCCCGCACACGTGGGCACCGCGATATTTTCCGTTCTTTTCACGCTTAGCAGTCTATGAACGGCGGCCCATCGCTCGGCCACAGGCGTGCCGCGATCCCGGATAAATAAAAGCAAAACGCAAGAGAGGAGAGAAAGGTGTATTGGTGTGTTGGTATGTGTGTGTGTGTGTGTGTGTGTGTGTGTGTGTGTGTGTACGAGAGAAGAGTATAAAAATTATGAAACGTAAATGGACTCTTAAATACTCTGCGCGTAATAAACTAAACGTGTCGCTTAACGTGTTATTTGTACATTTGAGCCAAGGCTCGACGACGGCAGCAACCGCGTGAAAATTGGCTTCCTCCTCCCCCATTTCTCGGCGACGCCGGTCGCGAGCGGGTAAATAGAAATAAGGCAAAATTAAAAAAAAAAGAAAAAATAAAAGAGAAAGGAAAAAAGGCGCAATACTGCAACAAATAACACTTTGCCTGTAATCACGCACAAGTATCGTCCCCGCGACGGAACGATCGCGCTCGTATCTTTAAGCGTTTTATACCTTAAAGAACTACCGCGAAACGGGAGTCTCTCCGCGACTGTCTCAACCTAACCTGCAACCAACGTAGACTTAGCGAGGATCGCGCGTATAAACAGAATTTCCACGCGCTCGCGTTCCTTTTCCCCCTCCCGTACAGTGGAGGAGAGAAATCCATCTTCCTCGACACCGCGCTAAATCCACGTTCATTTGCGTTAATTATCAACATCACTCATCATTATCATCATCATCATCATCATCATCATTATTCATCAACGATTATTATGGCAACGAAAAATGTACCTTCGCTCATTCAATTAAAAAAAGAAAAAAAGCTCAACGAACAAAAAGAAAAGGACGTAATGGCTGCGAAGCACACCCGCTTAGCGCCGCGTTAAGGAAAGCTTCACTCGCTTTACTTCAATATTACTTTCGTTCCTTTCTTCTCCTTCCCTCTCCCCCTTTTTTAAAGCGTCTTGGTCTCGTCCTCGCTGATCAGTTTCACGGGGGAAGCGGACGTCGTGGTGTCCGGGCTCTCGGTGCCCGAGTCACACTTGTTGTTATTCTCTTTGTCGTCGTTCACTTTTTGGCTCCTCGATTTGACGTCCTTCTTCTTCTCCGGAATCTCCTTGGCCCTCGACTTCTTCTCCGGATCGAAGTGGCGTTCGAGAATAAACAGCAGATCGTCTATCTTCTTCTCCTCGACCCTCGGCAGCTTCTCCTTCAGCAGATGCTCCAATCCGTCCTTTTTCTCGTTGGTCCACGCGTCCTGAAATGCCAATTTCGCGAACGCACGATTAAGAATCGCCGCGCTGCGGTGAAGAAGAGAGCTGCCGGCGGCGGCCCCGGTTCGGACGCGGAAAAAACGAGTATGCTACGAGACGCTTGCAAGTTTCATGCTACGAAGCGGCTGAGTTATCTCAATGTCCGGCGAGTGATTCGGCTGGTAAGTTGGATGCTTCGGCATCAGCAAGGGGAGACCGTGAAATAACGCATTTACACGCGGTTCCCCGTACAATGTTGCTCGGCGCAAACGTCGATTGTTAGCACGCAATTAATCAGGCGTGGTTACTCACCTGTAGCTCCGAGTACTCGATCCCAGCTTCGGCAAGCAATCGCCGCAGGGGACTAGCGTGTTGGCGTTCCCGGCGGTTCATACGGAACAGGGCGCTGAATATTGGCCGCAAGTTGTTCTGCCGCTCGAATATCATCTTCAGTTCTGCAACAAAACTTGTGCATTGCGGCGGACTCCCAGCGCGGCTCTCGACTTTCAACTTGGCTTTCAGTTTGCGGCAAATTCGCGACGGAGTTCGGATCAATCTGACGCCGGAGAAGAAGCGCCACCGAGGTATACCGAGGCTTGCGACAATTCAACGCTCGCGAAATCGTGAATTTCGTTTATAAATTTGAATTATTCAATCTCCGAAAGTCTCCCTTTTCAGGCAAAATTATCGATGTCGAATTATGTTTCCCTCCGGCCGGCCGACGGACGGAAGTGCTTTCATTAATAATCGTACGTTACGGAACAGCCGCGTATTTTGTTGCACTTTCATTATTGATGACGATGACAGAGAGGCCACCACAGGACTGCTGCTTCAACGAGAAACACGTACACCGCCAATACGATGTAAAATTCGCTTACGGAAAATCGATAAATCGTGCGCGCGTGCGTGCGCGTGTGTGTGTATGCGCGCGCGCATTGTGGTATCAAATTAATAATATCACCGCACCGCATCCTGCGATACACATACCGTCGTGTTCTTGCTCCTCAACATCGACAGGCTGCGCGAATTCTCGCACAAACTCGACTGTTTTTTTGAGGGTCTCATCGGTATCCCCGCTGCCAGTCGTATCCTCGGACTTGGTGTTCTCCAACGAACACAAGTATTGCACTACTTGCAAAGCCAACGATGCTCGGTCTTGCGCATTGCCCAGGTTCCCTTCCTTCAAGTATTACATACAGTTTACGATCGTGAGAATTACGACGCACCCGCGCTGCATTAATTGAAAGACACAATGGGGGCTACCGAAATTAATTGCTGCATATTTGTCAAATCTAAAATATTATGATGACCTTTTCCTTAATAAGAGTTAACGACACGTTAATTAAAATCGAGGACAAATTTGCTCGGGAACGGTCGGCATTCCCAATGACTGTTACTCATTTGGTAGAATCTCATCGATGAGGTATTTCCTCTCTTACCTTCTTCAGCAACGTTCGCGACAGAGTACGAAGGGAGTATACGTGCGCAGAATTGGCGCACTTCTGCTCGGCGATGTTGAATCCGTTCGCGAATCCCTTGACTGTTTGCTTGAATCTGCTGACAAGATCGTACTTCTTCAACGACTCGAGCAACATCGCGGGGATGACTTTACGCGGCTCATGATAAACCAGAATCACTCCGTCCGCGGTATCTCCCTTCACGTTCTCTAGCCAGCTCAAGAAGTCCGTCAACGCGGACACTTCGCTTTTGGACTTGATTACCTAACGAGGAGAAGAATTTATTTATTATGTACGGCAGCGTCGATTCGATTCTTCTCGAACGGCCGGGAAACGCCCGAGAGATATTCCTCTCTCCTGATCGATTTTTCGAAATGTAAACGCTCGCCAAAAAATCCAATCAAAATTAACTTTTGTAATCTGACGTTAGCAGGGACGGTCTCGAGAGAAAAATGCTCGTATCTACCGTAATTATAAACCTCGCATATATATATATATAATTGATAAGCTTTATTTCCCCTAGTCTAGATAAAGATAAGGAAATTTCCCAGCCGCCGAGAGAAGACAAAATAGAATTTTCCACTTATAGACAACGAGATAACAAATAAAACCCCGAGGAAATAGCAGCGTAGCGCACGCGAGAGGGAGAGAGTGTGCCGATGAAGAAAAATTCCTTTATCAAGACTCGACCGCGCGCGCGCGCGCGCTCTTCAGGGGACATGGGCGAGAATTCTCTCTCGTCGGCGCATTCGTCCGTATTATTATTACGTACCTCGTTCGTTTTACTGTGCCTCAGCACGCGGAATTTGCCGTTGGTCACAACCTTCATGCTGTGACGTTTGATCGCGGTCGGATTGAGGTCCTTGTAGGGCATCACGTACTGCGAGTAGGCCGAGCTCGAGGTGTACGTGGCTATTTGACAGATCTCGTCGATGACCTTCTTGCCGGTGGTGTCCATGTCCCAGCCGACCAGGCGATAATCGCCCGGTGCAATGCCCACGGTCGCCGCCGCGCAGCATGATTCTTTCGCCGGGGCCTCCTTCTCGCTATCCGTCACTGTCGAGCACACCATCGTTCACGTAGCCACTTTCCTGAAAAGCGCGAACGTTCGCGTATTCTTATCTCGCCTTGATTGCCTCCGCCAGCAGCAGCGTCGCCTTCACGCCACCGCGGGCCCAGAGCAAGATTACATGTCGGAGCTTCGTTACTCAACCGATCCGAAGAGAGAGGAGAGAGAGAGAGAGAGAGAGAGAGAGAGAGAGAGAGAGAGAGAGAGAGTCGCGATTAATGCGAGAGAGCAAAAATAATCTTCTGCGTAAATACCGAGAGATAACGCAGTGATTTGTGTCAGCTGTTCAATGTTTGATAAAAAAGAAAGGAAGGAAGAGGCACAAAAAAGGAGATACTGCCGCGGCAGAAATGTGTTTTGCTCGAGGAGGATTGCGCAAACTCGCGGACTTTCGTTGGAAATAGACGATATTATTATCGATTATTAATTATAGCGCGGTTTATGTAATTACGTATTATAATACCATCGCCCTGCTATATTATAATATGTATCTCGCACGTTATCGGTGCTTGTGGTGGCACTTTTTATTACTTAGAATATTCACCGCTGTCAACTCTTCGTTCGCTTTCACGCTGAAATCCGCGGTCGCGGCTGTTGCCTTCCGAAATTACGGATTACGATCAAGCTCGCGGTGTAAACTCGCCTGTCGCAAGGTCTGTCGCGTTTGAAAGCGTACGAACAATAGATAAGTCTTTGTCACGGTCGCCCTTGAGAAACAATCGATGACATTATGCGGACATGTAAACATGGTTTGACATGGGTGAAGAACAACATCGAGAGAAAGAGAGAGCTCGTTCGAGATCGAATTATCGTCAGCGAACGCGTTACCGAAGGAACAAATATCGCGGCTTTAACCGCGCTGCTTGGTTAACGTTCATCGAAGAACGACGCGCGGTTCTGCGCGTAATTTCACTTGTATATCGCTGACTTGAGAGATCACCCGATACGTCTTGAAAGTCCGAATAGCACAAAGCCGCGAGGAATATTCGGTTTCGCCGCTGAGAAACGAAACATACTTCCCGATGCGATTAAAATATTCAAGCTTTGGAATCTCTCGCTTCTGGAATGGATCGCTTCTGACAATTTTCGAATTTTCTTTTATCCTCTTCTGTCCTTTTCCTCCGCGTACCAGAGAGAGAGAGAGAGAGAGAGAGAGAGAGAGTGAGTATCGTTGAATATAATTAAATATGAAATATAGAAATCGAGGTTGACACCGGTATAGAAACAGACACACGCACGGAGAGAGAAAAAAATGGTTGGTTGAATGAAACAATCTTCTGATGAAATACGAGCGGCACAAACATTCCGTTTGGAGTTATCAGAGCTCAGTCCAAATTATATCAAGATTCAACTTCAACAGAGTTTTGGTATTTTCAATCGTAGCATCCGAATCGTAGCTCATATTTCACCAGAAAATCACTCCATTCGACCAAACCAATTTTTTTCTCTCCGTGTGCGTGCATACAAATACAAAGGAATCGTCGCGAAAATTACAAGAGGAAATAATTTCTTATTAGGAACTTCCATAGCTCGCCAGCTCTATTTGCACAGTTGCGGGATAGATATTTATAGAGTAGAAGTTTCTCTGTCTCTCAACTCTTGTCACGCCGAACACAAAGCGTCTCCGGCGCGCGTACGTGTGTTCTCCGCGATCTCTCACGTGGAAGTTTCTCGGGATGACATCATCGGCACCGTCGTCACGTCGGCGACTTTACCATGACATTGTTCATTTCTAATTATAAGGGTTACACGGCCGCGACTTTTCGTGCGGCGATCCGTTGCCTTGACGAGAGCGACCTAAAGAGGAGTGCGCGAGGCGGAAACACCGTCGCGATGAATGTCGCCGATGAATTTTTCCAGCCGATTCTGATGAAAATAAGGCAAGCTCGCGCTCTCCACAAAGAGAGGCGGAAGAAGAGGCGCGTTTAACAAGACAGACACGGCGGCGATACTTCTGGAATACAATGTACACAAGATCGAGCACACTCGCACGGCGGAGGCGACGCTTAAAAGAGCCGAGAGATGTTTTTTCCATTGAGATTTGCGTAACAGTTCGCCACTCACCTACTCACGACGCTGAAGATGATCTCGGCGCCGCGATTCGAGATGTATATCGACCCAGAGGAACACGACACGACACTCTACGACACTCCGCGACACGACACGACACGACACGACACGACGCAGCGCGTGTGTATGTGCGTACTTACATGCGTGAAGGTGTACGTACGATTAAGCTGTGACACTGATTCGCGGCAGATACGCGAGGATTGCGTAATATGAGCGAGCGCGCGAGAGACGAGTATGAAAGCGAGAACTGCGAGCGGAGATGCCAAAGAAGACGACGACGACGTGCCTTTTCAAAGAGTCGCGACGCAAATGACAATCGACGATCCTCCCGCGGCCACGTGGACGTGCTCTCGCATGTCGACAAAAGACAAGAGATAGCGCGCGCGCATGCGGGTTCCGTCACCGTTCGCCGCTTGAAAGACCGCTTCCCTGTTTGCGCGCCGCCGACTGATAACGCGAGAGACGACATGTCGAAACGTTCGTGGATCGTTTCAAAGACGCCGCGGACTTTATCGGTCCGCTCTCTATTCTCTTCAATCGGCCTGCACTTTTGTCTGGCGACTAGAGCGAAATAGAGCTGCCTCTTAACTCAAACGCCGATTAAACTAGCGGACGGTTAACCGACAAGATTGCCAATAGAAATTACAGGCTGGACAACTTGTCTCGATCAAATTTTCCGAACTATCTCATGTCGCGTATCGCGTGACGTTGAGCGGTAAGTTGGGTTATACATAATATAAATAACTCAATTAAAATGATTAAACAAATATAACGATATAAAATATGAATTAAAAAGGTAAATATAAATAAAATGAAATAAATAAAATAAAATAAAATATAAATTATTAAACAAATATAAAGATGGGGTAAGACAAGTTCCCCTCTTGTTCCAATAAGAAGTTATTTCATCGTTCAACTTTGCCGGCTGAATTAATAGTCCGCTGGTTTAACCGGATTTTGATAAGAGGCACCTCAAGGGCCATTTTGAAATTTCAACCTGGGTTTAAACTCCACTCAGACAGATACTTAAATTCAAAGTTAAGATTTAATCGACATCGCTAGAAACGGCCACAAGAGATCCTGTTTTATATCGTTGAATTAGTACACACTTTCGAAACTTGGAAAGAAACAGATAGTGTTTTCTTTCGAGGGACTTTCTGAGCTGGTGTACATTGACGCGATAAGTTAAAGTGAAACAAAAGGTGCTTGTCTCTCTCTCTCTCTTTCTCTCTCTAACTTATTGCACCGATGTGCACCAGTTCAGGAAGTCGCTCGAAAAAGAACAAATCTATATACAGTTGAGATTTGTTGAAAAAGAAGAATTGGCGCGCAAGGTGCAGCCAGGTGTAATGCAGCGAGTTCAGCGATAGAAAACAAAGCCACGAACGTAGTCTAGTCTAGACGTTGAAGAGAAAAGGAACAAAGTTGCAGTGCTAGTTCAACCAAAAAGGAGGACCCGTTTCAGATTATATTGCGCGCACAGGGACGAAATTTCCGCGCGGGATTTCTCTTATCTTCAATTCCCCCGACAATTAGCAACTTGTTAATTTTGGACAGCACAGGTCGCCTTTCGAATGTCGCGAGTCACCCCCCCCCCCCGCGAAGAAGTCGCGCCGGGGGAATCTTTCTCGAGGCTATTGAATCTCGACATTTGCCGGGGAATTATTATCCCACAGAGCCTGCGGAGATGATACGCGCCTACGACGTGACAAGAGGCCTGTTCTTTTTCGCTGCGCTGCTGCACTGATGCAATAAGTCAGAGTGAGACAAATATATATTCGTTCCACTCTAACTTGTTGCACCAGTGCAGCAGTGCAGCGAAAAAGAACAGGCCTATTAATTAAGCCGAGGACTTGCACATATGCTGCACCAGTCGCGTGCGACTTAGCCAAGATTGGCGATTAGCCAATATCTTAGCCAAGATATTTACATTCCGCGAAAGTCCGATCAATTTTTCGTCGATTGGTCCCGCGAGCCGAGGGACGTCAGGGAGGCGCGGTAGGAGTTCTTTAAAACGCAAAACACTCTCAACGACTCTTTGCGAAACGAGCTGCGAATGAATAATGGATTGTTACTCGTCGTTGAAAAAAACTGTAACACAAATTGTTACCGGAATTATAGCTCGACGCTTTTAGTGCCGCTGCTAAGGTGCTCAATATTAAAGAATGGAGGACTGTGTGAGACAAATGATACCGGTTTAACTCGTTTCGATAATTTAAGTGAAACTCGACTCGCGCTATCCGCAATATCTTGGTATCTAAGCCGTTTATAAAGTCGCAGATCGAACGCGAAGGTCGAGGAAGCAAATTGAAAAGCAAAGCCGCGGCCTGGAGTGTAGCGTGTGTTTATTCTCTTATATCGGTCGATATAGAGAATTCTACATCAAACGCCGCCCAGGCTTATGGTATATTCGCGTAGATCAGATGCGAGGCGTATTTCCACGGCGCGATAATCCGCTTTCCATCATTCGCAGATCTCACGAGAGCTCGACTCTCCCCGCCGCTTGATCGTACAAATAATTTCGTCTAACGACATAATCGCCCGTAACACTTTCTTGTTTACGTAGCGATGACCTTGCGCGCATGAGACTTTCACACATTCTTCCAAGACAAGGTTGGACACAACGGCTCGTGATACCCGACGCGGTATCCGAGATATCTAATCGCTCTCCAAGTGCATTTCACGATAAAACACGATGCACGTCGCCTGCTTAAATAGAGCATTAAGCAGTAACTTTGATATACCGCAAGCATACCATATGCGGGGTTACCGATATTTTTCTTTCTAAACAGCGCGTGACATTGTTGCCAAGGAGTTAGTTACCTACTCGTATAGTTAATATATTATCGAGCCGCCCCGGTTATATTTATAGCTAGAAAAAGGAAGCCGAGAGAAGAATGAGAGCCGCGATCGCGACCCAACGGCGGCCACCCGATAAAGGCAGATATCGTCGCTCGCGCGTCTTGCCGGAGGGCGGGGGGAGGGGCACTCGACGAAAGAAACGAGTCCTCTACGGCCGCGCAAACGGCCGTCGCCATTCCCGCTCGGGAATTTCGTCGTTTCTTTCCGCCGTTCCGCGGAATACCGTTAGCGCGTAGTCGCGCGAGCGCGACGTGCGTGCATTCCGAGCACACGTGGCCATCGCATCGCGCGGACGCGCGGATCGCGGCTTCCGTGTATGCGACGCGGCGCGATTATGAAACACCCACACGATCTCGGAAGAATGTGAGATCATCGATCCGTGCTCTTCTCGGGAGAACTCACCGACTTGTCCGTCCTTGTTACGTTCTTTCTTTCTCTCTTTCTCCTCTCCCTCTTGCTCTTCCCTGTTCTCTCTCTCTCTCTCTCTTTCTCTCTCTCTCTCTCTCTCTCTCGCTCTCTCTCGCTCTCTCTCTCTTTCTCTCTCTCTCGTTCTTTGCGACAAGTGTGTTCGTAATGTACGCGCGATCTCTATGACACACGAGAACGAATCGTTCGATCGCTTATCGGTCGCGCAAGTGATACTGAGAGAGCTCGGCGGTATCGCGGGCACACACGTGCACGAGTGTGGAGCGCATGCTCGCTGGATCCGGCGAGTAGTCACGTGGTCGGCCGCGGTCACGTGGTTTACTGGCCGATTCGACGCGCGCCAAATTCCGCGACGCGATCGCGTACGACTGTCGCGGCAGTCGCGGCGGTCTTTCTCTTCGATGAATTTCGGCGCGGGCCGAAGAATCTCGAGATCGTCTCGCGCTCGTGGTCTTTGCGCGAAAGAGAAGGAAAGAGGGAAAACGGAAAACTAACCGTGCGGTATGCGGTGATATGCGAAGCGCGCTGGTAGTCTGGCGGGAGGAATTTTGATTCTCCCTTGGGGTCGTGTATCATCCAGGGCCAAAAATATGTCGTGCAAAGATGCAACAACGCGAAGGAGGTAGAAGGCAAATTCGTTTCACCTAGGGCGAGCATATAAACGTCATATGAATAAGTAATAAGCGTACAGATGCCCCGTGCGTCACCTTTTCGCTCGTCTGTTGTAGCGAAGATGAAAGCGAGATGATACGTTTAGAGTGTGGCTACTTCAAAGTCAAGTATCAATATGAAAACCTTGTATCGACATCAACATCGAAAGCAAGTTTATATCGAAAACACAAACAGAGAGAGAGAGGGAGAGGGAGAGGGAGAGGGAGAGAGAGAGAGAGAGAGAGAGAGAGAGAGAGAATGTGTCTCAGTCTTCAATTCGCGCCTGGAGTCGACGTATAACGGAAATATTGAGGCGAACTATTTAGCCGCCGAGCCACGAACCGTTGAAAATGCGGAGAATTTTACGGATTAAACACGCGAGGGAGGCGCAATAAAATATGATTAAACTATCTTTTGTTTGCATTTCCGGGGAGCGGGAAATGAGTAAAATTAGTTTCGAAGGTATTTAAGGTCCGGCCGAGGATAGTTGAGAGATATTAGATTTTAGAGGTTTCATAAAATTTTCTCAGAGACGAAATTGGCTTCGGGTCGATCGAAGCAGAAAGCGCAAATAGAAATTTGGAACACCCTGCTGTAATATATATTAACGAGATTATGTAAACGTGCGCGCGCGATATTAGAGGACGAGTGTCGAAAAAATATAGATATTTATCAAAACGCCAATTAATAAGAATATAAACTAATTAATTATCCGTTTGACATTAATATACGGTAATTTGATTTAGTTCGCGCGCACACATGGCGATGATGCCTATTAATATATAATTCGGCGAAAATATTGATTCGAGAAGTCAATATCATTGAACTAACATACACACACACATACACATATGAATAATATGCTATTAATAACAAAGCTGAAACGCGTTTACACGCACATATATATGTATACATGTGTACGTGTAACATTGGCGTTAAATTAATTCTGTAATTTGGTCGACGTCGGAGGTTTATCTTGATACAAAATGCCAAGTTTTAGCACGTTTCGTTCGATCTCCCTAATTGCCAACAATTGCAATATTGCCGATTAATTGTCGCCAGTCGAACATATCGCAACAGTGCGCGTTGACGTCAACTTCATTATTTCTACCAACTTGATATTATCATTAAATTAATATTATATTAATTATATCGATAGAAGTTACATCGTCGCGCGTCTAACGGCCGGTTGTTCCAAGTTAACTGATACCTAAATCATACGTGTTGTTTTTCTTTCAACTTAGACAAAGACAGACAGATTTAACTATCAGTTAAGTTACCAAGACAAGTTACCAAGGTTGGAACAACCGGCCCTAAGACACGTAAAAAATGGCGCTATTGAGAACAACTTCGGAGTTTACGTATGATTTCGCGGTTTTCGCAATCGCGAGTGCAAGTGGAACGCACGCGCAGGGCCGTGCGT